GGGGCCCCGACTCCGGACGCCTGGACGGAAATGGCGCCGGTGACCGTGAAGGCCTCCAGGTTCCTCGGATGGTGGGGTTTCGGGTTTTAGGGTTTAAAGGGTTATAGGGCTTAAAGGGTTTAGGGGTTTTAGGGTTTAAGGTTTAGGACCTTAGGTTTTGAGGGTTGAGGGTTTTAGGGTTGAGGGTTTCGGGTTTCGGGTTTGGGGTTTCGGGTTTAGGGTTTCGGGTTTAGGGTTTGGGGTTGGGTTTTGGGTTTAGGGTCGCAGAACATTTAGGCATACGCTGCTGGGCTTTTGAGGTTGTATGTGTACATGTATACTTTTGCTGAAAGGCAGGGGTGGTGGGAGAGTTCAACTTGTTGATTTCGTGTGGAGTAGGTAAGAACTGAATACCCTAAACCCTAAACCCTAAACCCTAAACCCTAAACCCTAAACCTTGGATCTTTCGGGTCCGGGCTTGTGGGGCTTTAGGTCTAGGGGCTTTGAGGCCACGAGATCTTGGGTCTTAGGAAAAGTTGAGGGTTTAGGGTTTAGGGTTTAGGGAGGCACAGGATCTCAAGCCCTGCAGATTTATTCTAGGGGCCTTAGTAATTGGAAAAGGGTTTTGGGGCCCTTAACACTATACTTATAATAAGGAACCCCCAACTTCATAATTGCTTAGGCCCCTGTATTGGGGTTTTAGTCAATGTGGCCTTAAGTCCAAGATTTCATGGTCCAGTTGACCCGTTTCAGATATCAGGTAGAGGCTTCCGGCCTCGCGTCTGGGCCACAAGTCTCTTGGGAATCGTGGTTTAGAGTTTGGGTTTAGGGTTTAGGGTTTAGGGTTTAGGGTTTAGGGTTTAGGGTTTAGGGTTTAGGGTTTAGGGTTTAGGGTTTAGGGATTTCAGACTCAGACGAACATTTTTAGGGGTTTAGGGTTTACGGCTTTGGGGTGTAGGGTGCTCTTGGTGAGTGATTCGGCTTTGTAACTACCCATAGGCCCCCATCCTTTTTGGGATTACCTTATAGGGTTCTAAACATGAGCCCAAAAAAGGAACTACTATGGGGCCTACGGGTAGAACAGCTGCAGGACGCAAAGGTGAGCTTGTTTGCCAGGTTTCCGGGCTTTGGACTTCAGGACGCCCGCGCCCCGGCGCTCACACAGCCCTTACTGATCCCTCAACACTATACTACAAAGGCCTAAGTCTGGGACTCCCTACGATATCTAAAATTAAAATATAATGTAAACCCTAAACCCCCCAAACCCTAAACCCTAAACCTCAAGTACCCCTACAGGCTCTCTCCAACCCCCCATACCCCGTGAGCAGACCCGATGTAAATCCTATTTTCAGCCCCTAAACCCTATATGGGTTAATTTGTAGGCCCCTAGACTGCTCTGCTGTCGTCTGAGTGCCTGGCGTGCTCACTGTAGCACCTCCGGGGACTCTCGGAACAATTTCACAAGGCCATGCCTGTTACTACTATTGTGACTACTTGTCATTAGTGTTACTATGATGAGTTCGTTATTATGGTTGTTTGTTACTGCTGCCATGCTATGATTACTATAGATTGCTACTATGATTAAAAGTAGTGTTACCACTATGGCTACTGTCGTATTAATACGAGAGGGGATCTTAGAGCTTTCGTGAAGCATCGGCGGTTATTGGGTTCAGGCTTTGGGGGCTAAGGCTAGGGCTTTAAGGGTTCATAAGGTTTAGGGTGTGGGGTTGTAGGGCTCATGGGGCTTAGGTTCATAAGGTTTAGGGTGTGGGGTTGTAGGGCTCATGGGGCTTAGGGTGCAGAGTTTGAGGCTGGTAACCCGTTAAACACGTGAGAAAGAAAACTCCCGAGCAAGCGACCCCCCAGCAGCGATAGGGCCAGAGGGTCTAGGCTTTGGGGGGCGGGGCCTGGTGTTTAGGGCTTCTAATTCGACACGGACGTGAATGATCCTTGTTGTTGGTTTCCCTTTGTCGCAGCCCAGGAGATGCAAGCCCATAAGATCATAACAGGAAGCTCAATAGGAATCCAGGTATATGACTCAATGAATAAATCGGTGTTGAACTTTTCTTATGCAAAGTGTCTAGACTTAAGGCTAGGACAATGCTTTTGTCGATGTTGTCTAAGGCTCCGGAGTCCCTGCACATCAATGCGAAAATCAGCGGCTGATCAGTATGGTGCCCAATGGCATACTACAAGAGGTCTCAATCACTGGAATTAGCGCGGCCCTAAACCCTAAACCCTACTGTACACAAAAAGACCTCACCAGCCCTAGCTGCCCCCACCTGCCAGCGTCCAGTTGCTGCTCAACCCCGTGTCGCTACACACGATGCGGACGCGGCCCTGCCCCAGTGCACGGACAGTGGCGGGTTTAGGGTTTCATAACTGTTAAACTATTCAAAGTAGGCTGTTTACTTCGAGGCTCGCATTGATAAGTCGAAAACAGTACTGGGGAGTATTCCCTTGAAGCCCTACACGTATTTGCCAAAGTCACACATAAGCCCTACTTCAGAAAAGGCCTGAATGAAGGCTTATAGCAGTCTGGCAGCTCGGAGGTTTAGGCTTGAGGGTTTAGGGAGGGGATGAGGGCATATTTGGGAAGTTCTCTAAATTAGGGTCCCTTTTTAGGGTTCTTTTGTTTATAAGGGTGCCGTACTGTTTGGGGGGGCCTAAACAGGGAGCCTAATAATTTAGAGAACTACCCATTTAGGGATTAAAGGAACGTAGGTTCTGAGTTCAAATTCCATAGTGCTTGGGCTTGTGACTCAAGCAATCCACCATACAATCAATTCACTTTCCAAGTGTGGAGAAAGCGAGGAGGCCACACTACCCTGCATGAACCAAGGAAACATAGAATGAGGCTTCAGGGTTGATACATTCGGAAATCGAGACGGCACAATAACCTGCTTCAAACCGAAGCCATCCTTTTCCAGGTAGTACCCTGTGGCCTTCCACTACAGCTCAAAAGCAGCCCTTCACCTTGTCTGTCGCGGGTGCACCCCGGCAACGAGCTTCTTCCACTGCCAGCATTGCAGCTTGTGCGGTGCTCGAGAAGTTCTCGAAGCATGCCGTGTTCAAGGGACGTCTTGGTGCCCATACTTCTTGGCTGCCACGATCCTATGCTGTCGAACACCCGAGTCAAATCCTGCTCTAACAACGTATGGTCCTTTGAAGGTGTTGTGCCAGTACTGATGCCTTGTCGTCCACGGCGGTTTGGCCACCACACAAACGGCTTTAACCCCGATGCTGGTGTCACCATAGAAGAAATCCTGGCGAAGTACTACTTCTATAAGTACTACTGTTGCTGTTACGATTCCTTTCTCAGGAAAGACTGGCCCAGGCAGAAGCACTCCAACAAAGATAAGAGGTTACTACTCAACCAAGATCGGTAAGTGCGTCGGGTTTTCAACTTTTAGGACTTGCAAGTTCGGCATGTGACGGTTTTGGGTTAGGGCAAGGAACAGTTGGTGGGTTGACATGGCCCCTGCCCATTTCGCACACGAAAGCCGCTTAAATCCTCAACTGGATGGCTGACTTGTCGGGAACTGTCGTTCAAGTTACCAGAATTTGAGGAGGGTATATGGGAGTTTCCGAAATAATGGGTACCTTATTTTGGGGTCCTTATAATCAGGATCCTACTATTTAGGGTACTATATTAGGGTCCCCCATTTGCGGAAACCCCCATATGGTAGTAGAGGGCACACAAACGTAAACCCTCTACTTGTCGTGGTAACACCTTATAAAGTCTTTCGAAAGCCATTCTCAAAGCCTGGAGACCCTGTAAAATCCTTTGCAATCCCTCTAAGCCTCTCGAAAGCCCGAAGCACCCTAAGCAAACCCAGCGCAGCCCATGTGGACCCTGAACCCTAAGCCCAAAATCCTAAACCTAAAACCCTAAACCCTAAACCCTAAACCCTAAACCCAAAACCCCAAACCCCAAACCCCAAACCCAATACCCAAAACCTTAAACTCTACAAAACTGCGCGAGAATCTCTGAAGGACCCCTGGAGGGCCTCATAGATCTGGCCCGCTGCAAGCCTATCGACGACGCACCTGGGACATGAGGGTTGTTTTTTTGTTTTAAGGGCCTTTTTCCCGCAGTTGTCCTGAGGGGGTTGGATTAGGGTTTAGGGTTCAGGGTTTAAGGTTTAAGGCTTATACGGTTTATAGGGTTAGGGTTTATGGTTTAGGGTTCGGGGGTTTAGGGGTTAGGGGTTAGGGCTTAGGGTTTAGTGTTCAGGGTTTGGTTAGGGTTCAGAGTCTAAGGTTCAGAGGCTTCGGGCCCAAGGGATCTAGAATCTAGAGGCACGGATAGAGGCGGTGGGCTCCTGTCTACCGAACGTGGGGCTTGGGTTGTGGACGTTACCGGCCTCTCGCAATAGGCCCGCCCATACGGGTTAGGGTTTAGGGTTTAGGGCTTAGGGTTTAGGGCTTAGCATAGGGCTTAGGGATTTAGGGTTTAGGGTTTAGGTTTTTTAGGGGTTACAGCTTTTGGCCGAGCGGAAAGCCCAGGACCGCACTCAAACTTGTGAAGAGTCTCGTGTTGAGGGCAACGAACGCTATACCTAGATTCTAAATCTCGAATCCTGACACCCCCCCAATCTCTCAGCCACAAATCCTGAACTATGCCGCGTTGTTCAGCATCGGAGAAATAAAATACCTGAAACAATGGATCTACGATAGCAAACTGAGTTTATGAGTCAGGAGGGTTTTGGGGTTTACGGCTTACGATTTGGGGGTCATACTGGGACCCGTTTGGAGAGAGCATTTATAGATAGCGCCGTTGCAGGCTTCGGGGCTTCGGGCGCTTCGATTACCCTAAACCCTAAACCCTAAACCCTAAACCCTAAACCCTAAACCCTAAACCCTATAGGGTTCAGGTTATGGGTTTTACCAGGCCGGCCGAAGGTATCTCCGAGCGTTTAGGTCGCCAACCCCTAGGTCCTGCAAACTACTGAAAGCCCTAACTCCTAAACGGTTTAGGGTTTAGGGTTTAGGGTTTAGGGTTTAGGGCCTAGAGTAGA